AAGGAATGCAAAGGGAAGTACTGATTGGAGAAGGATACAGTTGATACTAGTTCATCCTAAAAAGATGTATGTAGCTTTCACATTTGCATCTTTAAATTCTTGTACACACTTCACTGTATGACCCAGCCAATCAGAGACCATGTAAAAAAATTTACTGCTACAATTCCATAAAATATTTCTCATATTTGCATATTTATAGACAGAAAATAAAATAACCGATAGAACCAAAAACTGTAATTGGCTACTAGCAGAGAGAGTATCTGGCAAAAGCAAAATATTAACATCTGAAACTAAGTCCCACAACTGTACATTTAAATCCATAATCTAAAATTTCAACATGAAATTTACACTGTTTTTCAGATATAAGTTAGTGAAACTGAGTTAATAAATATTTACTGAATGCCTACTATGGGACGGACATTGTTCTAAGTGTGTTAAGGTACAATAGTACACATAATACCCTCAAGGAGTTTCCATTCTAGTTAGTGAAACAGGCGATATATAGGAATTTTAGGTGCACCAGAAAAACCAAAGCACTATAATATAGAAATGAAAATGTTTGTAATGATTACTTCATTTGTGGCATAAACAGAATACAAACTGAAAAATAATTGTCTGAGCTTTATTTTCTAGAATATAGTTTACAAGTTTTCAAGGATTCAGTATTCAAAGATTCCCTCAATTATTTCTTCAGTTCAAACCAAAATAACTAACAAAACTTCTAATCTTCTTACTTCCTTTGAAATATTCCCTAAGTAGTGCATTATAAATACTGAATAGGTACATTTTTAAAGGATTTCACATACTATATTTGTCACAGTTGCTGAAACACTAGACCTTGAGCTATTAGAGAGCAGAAATCTTTTTCTACCTTTTTCTTTTTTGTGAATTCAGCACCTGCACAGGGTTTAGAATAAAATGCAATCCTGAATTACAAATGTATTATATAATAATTTTAATCTAATAATGTCAAAGAAAGTGCTAACTTTATCATACTTGAAAAATAAATATTTTGTTCAAAGTTGTATTTCAGAATGTTTTGATCAATTAGAAATGGATAAATAGTAGTGTACTTAAATCCTAAGTGCTGCTTTTCAGACAGTCAGAGCAGTATTAGAGTCGTGGCTCCAAAGTTTAAGAAGATCCACCCAAGCTGGATTATTTAAACTTGCAATAAATAGATGTATTTTCTTGGAAAAATATCTATTGTTACAGTAAAACTTGAGTTTCCTTTTTAACAAGATTGTATGATTACTCGTTTATATTGTTCTTTCCGCAGGAATCACACACCCCCTGTTTGCATCCTGTTATTCACTTAGAGCTTCCCTTCACTTCGCTATACTGTTTTCCCTAGCAGGAGAGTGGTTTTACTGCACATTAGAATCCTAAACTGTCCGCATGCTCCAAGTCTCCTGGTTTGTAGCATTTAGCATCTGTTCAGATCTTAAACATTACCTTGAAAAATGAATTGTCTGCGTCCTTCCAAAATATTGAATTGCCATCCTACATCACTGGAGGCCTGGAAAAGACTGGAATCTTTTCTACTGATTGTATCTCTCAGTTTCCATCTAATTCCGTGAACAACTTAAGAAACTACTTAGGGTATACATTCCACTAAAACCTAAGCAAACACATTTATATTCTTCTTAAAATTTTGTACATTTGGATTTGTTTTTCTGAAGGCAAAGAAAATTTTTTAAGTAATTCAGGCGTAATCAAAACCAAGTTAAATCAATGCCTCAGACTCATCTAGGATCCATAATAAAAATACAGATGCCTTGGTTCTACACTGAAGCCACTCAGAATCAGCAATAAGAGGGGCATGCCCTAGAATGTGCCTTTTAATAACCTTTCCAGGTTATTCTGATACACACTGAAGTTTAAAAACTGTAATGCAAAGGACCTAAAATTAAAGGTAATGTAACTGATGAAGGAATGATGAAGGATAATAAGATCCTATTGTTAAATACACTGAACCAGAATGAAAAATTAACTCATTAATGAAGAGCTAAGAAAATAACTGTTAATATGTAAGATCTCCAAAAGGAGCCCAGCTATGCTATAATAACATTCTTTGTAAGGTAGGTTTGAAATCTACCTTACTTGTGGTATTCAACAGGACACATGTGTCTCATGAAAAAAATATAAATTTATACATTAAACATACATATATTAATTAGCATATGTGTGTGTGCATAGATATAAACACACACACGGCCTAGAAAACGGTAATTATGTTAGCGCTTAAATGATACCTGGCTACTCGCTAAGTAGGTTCAATGCTAACCCACTATTTCTTTTCTTTTAATTTTTTTTTGAGAGAGAAAGGGGGAATCAGTATGTAGAAGGGGCAGAGAAAGGGAGAGGGAGAGGGAGAGGGAGAGGGGGAGAGGGAGAGAGGGAGAGAGGGGGAGAGAGAGAGAGAGAGAGAGAAAAGAAAGAGAGAGAATCCCAAGCAGGCTCTGCACCTTCAGCACAGACCCCGATTCAGAGCTCAAACTGACGAACCATGAGATCATGACCTGAGCTGAGATTGGTCCAATGCTTAACTGACTGAGCAACCCAAGAGCCCCTTACCCACTACTTCTAAACAGGGCACAATCTATACATTTTTTTTTCTTTTTTTAAGTGTATTTATTTATTTTGAGTGAGAGAGAGAGAGAGAGAGAGAGGGAGAGGGGGCACTTGTGCTCACACATGCACAAATGAGTGGGGGAGAGGGAGAGAGGGAGAGGGGGAGAGGGAGAGGGAGAGAGACAGAGACAGAGACAGAGAGAGAGAGAGAGAGAGAGAGAGACAGAGAGAGAGAGAGAATCCCAAGCAGGCTCTATGCTTAAAGGGCAGAGCCCTACATGGGGCTTAATCCCAGGAACGGTGAGATCATAACCTTAGCGGTAATCTAGAGGCAGATGCTTAACTGAGCCACCCAGGTGCCCCTTTTCTCTTTTTAACATTTATAGTTTGATTTCCTATCATATAGGAGCAAGAAACAAAAAGGCAAAAATGACTAACATCAATGCATCTTTACCAAAGTCAAGGAATAACATCTCTCTGGTTTCTAGTCAGTCAACTTTCTAAGGGCAGAAACCAGATCCTGTTTGTCATAGAACCCCTTGCCACAAGGTCAAGCAGTAAGCACTGCATGTGAACTAATGCTGAGGATTAGGACAGCTATTCCACAAAGCTGGGAGTGGTTACAGTCTATGATAGGGGCTCCCAAACTTCCACATACATCCAGCTCCACCACTCTACCAGAGTTTTATTCTGCAGGTCTAGGGTGGGCCCAAGATCTGGCATTTGTAACAAGTTCCCAGGTGACACTACTGCTGCTTATCTGGGGACTACGCTTTGAGAACCACAGATCAGGCGAAAGTCCTCAGGACTGTGCTATATAAATGGTTCCCAGAAAAGAGAAGTAATTGGAAGATGGTTAGGAAAAACAACACAGGGCATCCAGAAACCAGGGTTCTAGTTCCACCTCTATCAAAGAATTACTGTTTAGTTGATAAACACACACTCACACTCACACACACACACACACACACACCGAATCCCACATAACCCATCCTAGAGATGAAGGATCTGGTGTAAAGGAAAATTCAAAGACTTTATAGATAAGAAACAATTTTAAGTGTCTACTATGAACCTTTAAACATATAATCTGACCTGAAATGATTATCCTCATAATCAGTGTGCATTGCTCAAATCATAACTGTTAAACTACATAGTTTTTATCCAAAATAAAGATCATACACAGCAAGCAAATAAAAAAATGCCCAGACTAAACACAGCAAACCATTTAAATATAAACCTGCAGGGAAATAACTGTTTTCCAATATTCTAAACACATATTATAAATTCAAGTATCTGTAGATGGGTCTAGGGCAGCAGCAGCAGCAGCATCTGAGATCCTGCAAGAAATGCAAAATCTTGGCCCACTTGGGTGGCTCAGTCGGTTAAGGGTCTGAATTCGGCTCAGGTCATGATCTTACAGCTTGTGAGTTTGAGCCCCACATCGGGCTCTATGCTCACAGCTCAGAGCCTGGAGTCTGCTTCAGATGCTGTGTCCCTTATCTCTCTCTGCCCTCCCCAACTGGTGTTCTGTCTCACTTCTGTCTCTCAAAACGAAATAAATGTTAAAAAAAAATGCAAAATCTCTGACTACCACCTAAACCTACTAAATAAGAACTCCCATCTCAGCAAGATCCCTATGTGATTTGTAGATACTCAAAGTTTGAGAAGCACTGACTAGGGCACTCAGATTTTATCACTAATTCTTTACTACTATTTGTTAAATAGCATGATGTATTTAAAAGAATCAACATTTCCCGAAAAAAAATCTATTTCTGACATATAAACAGATAAAAAGAGAAACTGAGGAATTATTTTACATAAGAATATACAATGAAACTTTATTTTCCAACAAAAATTTCCAATAAAATACTTAATTGCTATGAAATCATATATGATTAGAAAGTAACTTCATGGCTGAGTAAACTGAGGTATAGGGATGCTAAATGGTTTGGTTAAAATCAAATAGTTTATCATGGCACAATGAGACTGAAATCCAATTCTGACTCCTGTAATGTAATACTTCTTCTGGTGGAATAAAATTATTTACATTTTCCTGGAGTAAACACACGGTTAATATATAGTAGTAGAAGTGTACATAATTTTTTTAAAGAATAAATATCTACCCAAACATATTGAAGGAAATAAGCAAAAATATGTCATAGTATATGTGTTTTATTCCCTTCATTGAGAGAATGGGGGGGGAGGGACACAGACTTTAAAAAATTGCATCGGAAGGAGTAGTGGAACTGGAAACTATATGGACATAACTTTCAAACCTATGATTTTCACAGAATGACACTACAAATCAGGCAAGTGGAAGTATCGTTCCGATGAATGAACCTGGAACACGTATTTTTAGAAATACTACAAGTTTGGCTCTGCTACTTAAATTTTAATATATAGCAATAAACAAAACTTCTTCTTACCATCAAAGAAGCTCTTGGCTCTTAGGTAACTGACACTGAGCCTGAGAACTGAAAGTTTGTCCAGCTTATTAATAACATCTTGTGGAAAAGGCAGCAGGCTAGCCAAACGGTCCAACTCTGTATTAAGCCGGTCTCTATGTCGCTTGGAAGGATTGGACTTGATTCCTTCAGGTGGGATTGGCTTGACACTGAAAAACAAACAAAATACCACAACATAAGATAGATAAAGTAAAAATTTCTATTGCATTATAGCTCTTCAGGTATTTCTCTAATGAAACACACACCAAAAAGTCTACTCAAGTTTACGTAAATCCCTTCAAAAGGCTTCTTTGTATCGTAATTAAGAAAAACAAAAAAAATTGGTAAAATTCCTCATAATGTTTTATTAAAAGCTTATGAACTCAAGAAAATGCTGAGTGCATCTTATATACTTCATACTTCCTTCACTTCATACATTTGTGGTACAGTGATTCCCAGTAACAAATCCAGTAGGATTATTTTTTCAAACCCAGACACTGTTCCAGAAAGAAATGAAAAAGAAATCTGCAATTAATTATGTGAAGATTACGCTTCCTTTGCTATCTTCCTCAAGAAGCATCTTGGCATCATTTATGATGTAGATAAATAGGAGCTACCCTAATCACCCCAGCTTCCTATATTTAACACTTTCATCCTGTCAGTGACAACTATTCAAAGTCCTTCTGGCACCTCTATATGGTCATCTAGGCATTTAATGGGGTCCTCCAATATTTAAAAAAAAAATTGGCTTTGGTTATTTATATTTGCTGAGTGACAGATATTAGAGGTTAACTGTAATTCCTTGCAAATTTTGCATTTAGGGCTGGTCAATAATTCTACTTAATTATTAGCTTTCATGGCTTATGTCTTAGAAAATTCAATGAATCCCCAACATGTAGCATGATTTTCATCTGAGAGAAAAGATATTTATAGTTAAGAGTAGAACCTGAGTTCAGATATGAGAAACTGCATAACTTCACAGAAAGGTCTTAGCCAGGATTTCACAGCAGAAATTCATTATTTAAAATGAACTGACATCATCACACACACAATGAAATATAGACAAGATATTAAAAAAAAAAACAACAAAAACAAAGATCATGCCTCTTCACCTTTCCATTTGCCAGAAAAATAAAATCTTATGCAGGGCATTCTTACAACAAAGACATTTCCCTCCAGCCTTTATTGAGAAGACAAAGGCATTTTCGACAATTCAAATGATGGCATCTTCAAAAGTAGAAACTGGCCTGAATATAGTGCTGATTTAATCAAAATATTTCTAGATACTTTATGTTTTCAATGTTGTATGTAGAGAAGTAATACTTTATTTAAAAATTAATAAAAAGTCAATAAAGGGGCACCTGGGTGGCTCAGTCAGTTAAGCATCTGACTTCGGCTCAGGTCACGATCTCACGGTTCACGTGTTCAAGCCCCGTGTTGGGCTCTGTGCTGACAGGTGGGAGCCTGGAGCTTGCTTCGGATTCTGTGTCTCCCTTTCCCTCTGCCCCTCCCCCACTCACTCACTGTCTCTCTCTCTCTCTCTCTCTCTCTCAGAGATTCTCATTCTCTTTCTCTCTCAGAAATTAATAAATATTAAAAAATCTTTTTATAAAGTCAATAAAAATTTTAATGTTTGTTATATATTGTTCCCAACAAGTAATTTCTTCAGAACTTATCTATTTCTGTTTTTATTACAGTTCATGTTATTTATTTATTTTTTTAATGTTTTACTTTTTAACATTTATTTATTTTTGGGACAGAGAGAGACAGAGCATGAACGGGGGAGGGGCAGAGAGAGAGGGAGACACAGAATCGGAAACAGGCTCCAGGCTCTGAGCCATCAGCCCAGAGCCCGACGCAGGGCTCGAACTCACGGACCGTGAGATAGTGACCTGGCTGAAGTCGGACGCTTAACCGACTGCGCCACCCAGGCGCCCCAAATGTTTTACTTTTTAAAGCAGAGAGAGACAGAGCATAAGTGGGGATAGGGCAGAGACAGAGGGAGACACAGAATCCGAAGCAGGCTCCAGGCTCTGAGCTGTTAGCACAGAGCCCAACGTGGGGCTTGAACTCACGAACTGAGATCATGACTTGAGCCGAAGTCGGACGCTTAACCAACTGAGCCACCCAGGCGCCCCCAGTTCATGTTATTTCTACAAAAGTAAGAATTAATAAATTGATAAAGTATATGGCATACATACAAAATAAATCAGGTACTTTCTCCAGACTGTGTAATTGCATACTTAACAGAAACAGATGATTCTTTCTCTATTTTTCCTTAATCATACTGCATTTGTAATCAAATTCAAGTCATCTCTAAATTTCTTCAATTAATCAAATGATTTTCAAAAGTTACCTATAATGCATGTCTACCTCCCTGAATAATTCTCTGATTAATCTCTTATCGACACAAATATTTACTTGCAGTTATCATGTCCTGGATAGTCTAGGAAAACATTCCTCTCCTACATATTCAAAAAGTGTTATGGGAGCAAAGTATGTGAGCAACTAACTACTTGAATTAAGATCTTTATAGACAAGGTAGTATCTGATATGGACCTTTAAAGATGAACGGGATTTCAGGAGGAGGCAGGGCTGAGAAACGGTGGCCTGTGAAAAGTCCCCTGTCCAGAGTGTGAAGCATAGAGTACAAGAGAGAGGAGAAAGGGGAAAGTGGTTGTGGCCACATTCATGCAACAAATAGTCACCACCTACCATGGGCAAGGCACAGAAGACTCAGCAGTGAACTATATTACATGTACTAATGTTCCTGTTCTCATGAAACTTACATTCCAGTGGCAGGAAACATAAATAACTAGTTGAGTGAAGAAATAAACATATAACTTTCAGAGCTGCTAAGTGTTAAAAAGAAAAATAAAGCAAGATAAGGAACTAAAGAGTGACAAGCATGCTGGTTTTGATAGCCAGGAAGGGTCTCTGATGTTACATTTCAGCACAGACATAAATACAACGAAGGAGTGAGCT